AAAAAAAAAAAAAAAAAAAAAAAAAAAAAAAAAAAGCCCTTTAGAGCACAGAAAATAGTAAACATAGAGAATTAGGAAGTGATAAATTTTGGGTATTCATTACCTTTAGTTTAACCTACTTAACTATAAATTTATGTAATTAAACTTTTAATAATGACTGTTTAGCAACTGGCTGCAAAATTGCTGAAACTTCAGCAGTTGGCTCTGGAGACAAGTTGCCACCACTCCTGTGGCTCTGGATCCCAGGAACTGGGAGGCAGGGGACCAGGTATGGCCCATGGCCGTCTGCTCACACTCTGGTCTCTGTCCTTCAGATCTTCTCCTTCGTCCTGCACACGATCGTGCGAGGATTCATCCACTCTGCTGTCGGGGGCCTGTATGCTGCTGTGTGAGTCTTGCAAGCTTTGGGTGGTCTGGTGGACTAGGAGACTGTGACCGGGGAGGTAGGACTGAGACCTGAGGCTGGGCCACCCTGCCCTGGCTGAGTTTGCCTTCTGTGCAGGCGAAGGCCATACCTGGCAGGAGGTGGGTCAGGGTGCAGACAGTTGAGTGCCCATAAGACTTAGCACTTAACACGAAGTCAGTTCCCTCAGCCAGGCTCAGCGCTCCTGGATGGCACGTTAGCGCCTTGGGGCCACTGCTTAGCCAGCCCTGGGGCTGTCCCAGGCTGCTCACTGGAAAGGACAGGATTGGATTCTGACTACATGGAGCCAAATGCTGAGGTTCAAGTAGCCTTCAACAGGAATAGTGACATGGATAACTGAGCCCAGGTTGTCCTAACCCATGACCTCAGAGGCTTTCTTGGGCTGTGGGTAAAATGAAACCTACATCTTTTTCTGAGATGCTTCACAGTGGTTCCTCCTCCTTCGGCCTAGGGCTTGGCCCCGAGTCTGGAACCCACATGCCATCACCCAGTGTCTTTGACAGTAAGAGTGACTTACTCCTTGCAGGACACCCCTTCACACAACTGGGGCAGCAGCGTCTCCTGTTTGTTGAGATGTAGGCCAGAGCTCCCTCCCTGTCCCGGCAGCATCCCACGGGGGTCATTCCAGGTCCGCCGCGCCCGCCCCCTGGCCTAGAGGAAGTTGTGGCTGCTCTGGCAGGCTGTGCGAGAGGCAAGCAAGAGCTGCAATGCTGAGTTTCCATGATTGCACAATGCTCCTCTGGAGGAGGGCAGAGCAGAGCCAGGCCCAGCCTCCGACCTGCTCCCTGGGCCCGTTTCCCAAGCCACAGACTCCCGCTGGCACCTTACTTTCCACACAGCTTGGCCAGACACCCATAGGCCCCAGGCACATCTTGTGGAGTGGGGCGTGGGCTTTCCCAGAGTCTGGGACCTCAGGCTGGTCCAAAGAGAAATTGTAGAACTGCTCAGCACAAAGTAATCCAGAGGCCAGCACCCGGGCCATCCTGAGATTATTCCTATTTCTTCCTTCAGGCCCCCAAGGTGCAGCCCTGGGCCACCCGCATACCTGGGCCAGGTTGAGGCTGAGGCTGGGTATGGCAAGCCCAAGAGTGACACGGGCTGACATAGGTCTTGATTGCTCTCACAGGTACCCCTCCACCCAGTTTGGTAGCCTCACAGGACTGCAGTCTCTGATCAGCGCGCTCTTTGCCCTCCTGCAGCAGCCGCTCTTTCTGGCCATGATGGGTCCCCTCCAGGGAGACCCTCTGTGGGTAAGAAGGGTCAAGGGGCAGTGGTCATGGGCATCTGTTGCGCTCTGATATGGAGCTGGGAGGCCACCTGGGGGCTTCAGAGCACTGAGGACAGGCAGTTTGCAAACTTTGGTTAGGTCTGAGTTGTAGTCCCCTGGTGAATCGTGGCTAGGCAGGAGAAAAATGGCCTCTGAACCTGACTTTGGGATGAACAGAAGACAGTTCCTAGCCAAGAGAAGTGGCACATATGTGTAATCCTAGCTACTTGGGAGGCTGAGGAAGGAGGATTGCAAGTGTGAGTCCAGTCTGGGCAATTTAGTGAGACCCTAAAAAGGGCGGAGGGGCTGGAGATGTAGTTCATTTCTCCCTGGGTTTAATCTTCAGTACTGGGTAGTGGTGGTGGGAGAGTTCTTATCCTAGCCCCTGCCAAGGGCCAGGATTCTTAACTAGCTACCTGTTGTACCATCAGTGCCAGTCCTACCTCTGGCCCAAGGTCAGCAGGTCCTACACGGAGGACCTGAGAGCTGCTGGGTGGTCTGTGGAGAACCAGAAATTCATTTGGATGCTATAATATGGACCAACAGGCCCTGGGACCCGTTGAACCTTCCTGGTTCATTTCTCTCTTTTGACCTTCTCCCTTCCCCACATCAGACTCTGTGTCTGTGTGTGTGGGGTGAGCTGAGCCCTGCGCAGCCCCCATCCCCTGTGATAGCTGCTCCTCCCTGTCCCCAGGTGAATGTGGGGCTGCTAATCGTGAGCATGCTGGGCTTCTGCCTGCCCCTCTACCTGGTCTGCTACCGGTACCAGCTGGAGAAGCAGCTACAGCAGAAGAGGGAAGACAGCAAGCTTTTCCTCAAGATCAATGGTTCATCCAACCGAGAGGCCTTCGTGTAGCATCACTGGCTAAGAACTGGCCTCCTGCCCGTGCTTCAGTGACTGACTGATGTCCTCCTCACCACCCCAGAGGACCCTGCACACTCCCAGGATTCTCTCTTTCACCATGTCAGAGTCCACGCTCCCTCCAGGGCCCTAGTCCTGCCTTGGAGCTCTGCAGTGGAAGGACAGGAGAGGGCCCAGGATGGGAGATTTTTTCTGGGCACAGGACAGCCCTGGCTCTGCTCTGCCATCCGCAAGGAACCCTGGGGCCTTGGGTCTCCATGGTGCCTGCAGGAGGAGCCAAGGGCACCCCCAGCAGGCAGGCTGTGTCCCTCAAGGCTCTGGATTCTGCCTTTTGTTAAAGCAAAAGGGGCTGCCATCCACCACCCACCACCTGCCCCTCAGCTGCATGCCCACCAACCACTCCTGCCTGAGGACAAAGGCTTGCAGTGTCTGTAGTCCCTCGCCTGGCCCCTCACCTCCTCCCCTGGCCAGTCCACAGCTGCCTGAGGAAGGAAGGACCCGCTTCCTGTTGTTGGTGCTAACCCCTTTGTAATCCCACCCCGCTGCGGCCTGTCCACGGCCTGTCTTCTCATGTGAAGCCTGTGGAGAAGCCCTCCTGGCGCTCAGCCTGGAGAGGGGATGGCCGCAACAGGGTCACACAAAACCACAGAAGCCATGGACAGGGCTGATCAGTTGTCCCCCACCTCCTCCCTCAGGGTTGGAGAGGGAGCACTTTTCCACTGCCACCTTCAGTCCAGTCTGTGACCTGATGGTAATTAAAGGGGCACCACCAGGGCACCCCTCCCCCACCGCACAGCTGTTTCCATGGGCCACACAGATATGGAAGTCCAGCCCTGTGAAGGGAGGTGGATTGGTGAGGGGCCAGAGGGTGTGTGTGGGGGTGTGCATGTGGTATGTGTGAAGTGGGTGGGCTCTAGGGTCTGCCAGTATCCCCACCAGCCAGCCAGGTCTGTAGCAGGGCCTGTGCCCAGAGCCAACCTTGCCTCCTAATCAGTAGCTTGTCCTGGCTGTGTAGTCACAGTGCCCCCTGCTGGCTGGCTTCACCAGGGCCTGAAGCTGGGTGGGAGACGCTAGGCCTGCCTGGATCACCACCCTGCCCATCTTGACTGCCCTCAGAAATGTGTCTGAGACCTCCTGGGTGCTCAGAGCGGTGGGTTAATTTTTAGGTCTTTAGTTTTCTTTTAGGTTTTATCAGACTTCTTTTTATAAAGCAATAAACCCATTTTCCTCATAGCAAAGGATTCCCCTCCTAAAAATCAGTTGACAGCTCTATGTGCCTGTTCTGAGCTCAGGAGGAAAAGGCAGGACAAGATATTCTGCCACTGACCAGCCCTAACCATACCCATCATCATCCCTGGGGAACCTGCCTAGGGAGGAGCTGGGCCAGGAAAAGACGTTCACCTCTTCACCAGATAAATAGGGCTTTGGAGAAGTGTGGGCCACCCCTCCTATGCAGACTGTCCCAGCCAAGCAGACTAATGCCGGCCCCTCCTTGCCTACATGGATTTCCTGTTGCTGCCCCACAACCCTAGGGGCCCTCCTGAATATAGGACACAGGGTGACCCCAGAGAACGGCATCAGGATGTGTTGGGGATCAGAGAAGAAGGGGGAATAGCTAGGCCAAATTCAAGCTTCCCAGTAACCAACAATCTGAGTCTCTTAGTCTCAGTGTGGCACTAGGCTCCTGAGTCTCCTAATACTTTTAAATATTAAAAATCACAAAGTAATGAGCTGGGGGTGCAGGTCAGTATTAGAGTGCATGTTTAGCATGAGCATGGCACTAGATCCCATCCTCAACACCGGAAGAGACCAAAACAAGTAGGGAATGGTGGAGCACACCTATAATCTCAGCACCCAAAGGCTGAGGCAGGAGGATCACTGCAAGTTCCAGGCCAGCCTGGACTACATAGCAAGATCTTGTCTCAAAAAACCCCTTGCATGGATATTTTCCAAACCGTTTCTCAAGAGTACTGATTTTGATGTATTAGTGGTTTTTCTGGTTTTAAAACTTCATAGCCAAATTTAGGAAATGCTGAGTTCGAGTCAAGCGCATTTTGCAGCAAGCACTCAGCACTTTCTCTTCAACCATGAATGCTGTGCCTGTCCAAAAGGGTGTGGTGTGCTGCCCAAACACCCCAACATGTGTGGCCCCATGGCCACCTGTCAGAAGCTCCTGGGCTATTGGCCTTTCTCTGACTGACAATTCTGGTCCTTCCAGAGTTTGAGACTCACTCGTGAACAGGAAGACAGTTTGGGGAAACACTGACCAGCAAGGTCCCTTCCAACTAGGATCGTGCCTGGAGGATGGGCAGACACCCTTGCTGTCCCCAGCAGCATCTGGGCCTGGCCATGCTACTGTTAGATGAAGATGGTGGCTGGCGTTGAGAAACTGAAAGGGTGGGAGAGTCTATGGCCAGCTGTGGGAGCAGCGGCATAAAACCGGGCCAGGTACAGAGGCTGTAGAAAGCCAGGTGGGTTAGGTATCCCCTAATCAGAAGCTGGCCGTTCCACCCTGACTTCCTACAGAGTTAACAGGTTATAATCTACAATCATGGGAACGATCTAGAGCTAAATCGATACCATCATCTCCACTTTACAGTCGGCAGAACTGAGGCCCAGTGAGGTAAAGTAACTTGCCTAAGGTTAGAACTAGGACTCACGTGGGTCTGAAGTGATTGCAGCAGCCAAGGCGCTGTAGACCAGGGAATGCCATTTAGAGCAGCAGCTCCAGGGTCAACCAGGCCTCCACGGCGGGGCGGCAATACCCAGGGGAGGACAGTAAGCTCAGGCACCTTCTCCACTTCTTGGAGCCAGAGCTGCTTCAGGCTGGGGTGAGCTCTGCTCAGGAGTGTCATTTGGCCCCCACAGGCTGATGAGTACTTGAAGGAGCAATTTCCCCGTCATCCCATCTGCAAGAGAAGTTCCTGAGATGGGGCCAGATCACACTGGCCAGAGCTGTCCCTTCTTCCCCTTCCCACCCTTTCATGTCCTCCCTATACTCTGGGCCCAGCCCTTCTTTGTGCTGTTTTCCTTGGTTCCTCCCGGTCTCTGCCTGCAGCTCCCTCTGCTGAGCCTTGTCTGTAGAGAAGGTTCCTGCCCTCACACAGGCCAAGGCGAAAGTGCAGGCCTAATGTTTTTGTTTTTGCTCTGGTCTTTGGCACCAGGGATTGAACTCGGGCCCTTGCTTGCGAGGCCTGTGGCAGAACCACTGAGCCAATCCCTGGCCCTGGTACAGCCCTAAGGGACTCCTTCCTGTCTCTCTCCCTCTCCCTGTCCCTGTACCCAGCTTCCTGGTCAAAAGAACTTTTATGCAAACCCTCCTTGTGTTCTTGCATGGCCTAAGCAGCCTGTAGAGGACCCCACTCTGCTCATGTCCCCAAGGACTGAAAGTAGGGGCATATCAACAGTGGAAACATATGGGCAGGACAGTCCCAGGCAGTAGCACAAGCACCTCCAGCTAAGTGGAGGTTTTGCTGCACTTGCATGTCGGCCACTGTGAACTGGAGCAGTACACAGCTGGGGGTGGATACTGAGGGAGTTGAACTGTATTGCAGGCCCTGCAGCCTCTTACCAATAGAATTCGGCTCAGGCACCTTGCAGCAGCAGCTCCAGCCCCCAAGGAGGGGTACAGTGGATTCTCATGGGCCCTAAGGCAGCAAGGTGCCTCATCTGGACCAAGGGCCCAGCTGAAGGGCAGTGACCCATTTTCCCCGAATACTGACCATGGGTGGTGAGGTTTGGGAGCCTAGATTGTCCTCAGGCTGCAGCCCTCTCCCGGATTACAGGGTCAGGGGACACATGTGGGCTCCGTGAGACTGGTTCCCCCAGCCCTGCTTCACTCTGAGTCCTGGACTGTGGACAGCTTCCCAAGTGACAAGGAGGTGTTGTGTCCTCCGTGAAGGTGGCCTGCCCTGCCTCTGGACTGTCCCTGCCAGCATGGAGCTACCACCTGTGCCCCTACTCACTGCAGTTAATCATTCTCATCCTTCTGGAGAGATCAAGATGAACCTGGGCCATGGCAGCTCCCTGACCTTGAACCTTGGCAGAGGGAGGCTCCCTGCATGTGGAGGGAGAGCAAGGAAAGAGCAAAGGTTGGAGGACTTATCACATATTTGCTTGGTGTCCTTAGACAAGTCATGAGCCTCAGTTTCTTTATCTGTACAATGGACCTTGCAATACCCTCAGAGTGCTGCTAAGTAAACATACAAGTAGCACATGTGGACAACAGTATGGCTCTTAACAGGCATTTATCCATCCATAGCAGCATTGTTTTCACTGCCCTGGAAGAGAGCAGGCAGCACAGAAACACACACCCCTCCCCAATATGACAGGACTCCTACTTAAGATGACTCTCACCATGGACTTGCAACCAAGTAGAAGAAAGTGAGGTTTGTTCCTGCTGGCCCTGTTCCCCTCAGAACCTATCCCTCAGCAGAGCTTTAAGAAGTTATTCCCAGCAGGTGTAGTAGTGCATGCCTGAAATCCAAGCACTCAGGAGGCTGAGGCAAGACATTTGCTGTGAGTTCAAGGCCAGCCTGGATTACATAGACTGTCTCAAAAAAAAAAGTTATTCCCTTGATCATTTTTTCTTTATGTCTTTCACATTTTGGTAAGAGACTTGGCCAAAGGACATCTCAAGATTATCTCTAAAGACTGGGCAGGTTTATACTGAGTGGGGTGAGTCAAATCCCAGCCATGGGCACCACCCCAATGCCACCTCCTTGGACACCTGCTTGGCTGTGCCTCTAACCATGTGTGC